ACAGCTGGGAGACAAGGAGATGGCACAGCTGGGAGACAAGGAGATGGTACAGCTGGGAGACAAGGAGGTTGTATGGGCGAGTGCCCTGCTCCCCTCCCTGATGCTGAGATTTGGTCTTAGTGTTCAAGGTCTGACAGAAGCTCTGAGCAGAAGGAGAACAGCCCCAGAACCTTGGGTGCAGGGGGCCTCAGAGGAAGAAACTGCCCTCCTTTATCTCTTTCCAAAGCAGCAGGGAACCTCAGGGGCTGGTGCACCTGTGACCTTCTGTCTCCCTCTAATGGGCCTGTTGGGAAGAAGCCGTCTTCCCTGTCCATCCCGGACACCAGAAGCCCCACCCGCCCCATCCCGCCTCTGTACCTGTGTCTCCCTTGCTTCCTTTCACACCTGCAGCTCCCGGACTCCCGGGCGTCCCTGGTGGTCCTGGAGAACAGAGGGCATAAGGACTGGGCTAGGTGAATCTTCAGGCATCTCTTCCCCCCGTCTCAGGACCAAGCACCTTACCTGTTGGCCCAGCAGAGCCAGCTCTGCCAGGGTCCCCCTTGGGACCCGGGGATCCCGCCGGGCCTGGATGACCTGGTAGACCCTGCACTCCTGGTTGTCCTGAAAGTCAAGCAGCAGCTGCAAGGCTGAAGGTGCTTGCAGAGGACCTGGCCACCCTCCAACCCCTTCTCCACACTGAGGCATGTACCCCCAACATCTGTCCCCTCCACAACTTTTTAAAGATGTCCCTTTAGAAGCCACCAACTAGCTCAATTAGAGGGAGGGAAATTGGGGGGAAAATGGCAATTTATTAAACTTTTCACTGCTGTAGAGTTTTGGACTTGTGGACTCACTAGGGAATACTCAGCTCTCTCTGGATGTCAGGGTGTGGAAGACGGAGGTCTAAAGGGAAATGTCAGTGAAGCCTCTGCCTGCCGATGTGCTCCTTGTAGGAGAGACCAGGTTCTTAAGGAACTCCAGATGCTGGTAAGGATGACCTCTGGGTGAATACTACAGTGAATACTTGGTGGTGGAGTCAAGGTTGTGGACGTGGTATTACCAGGGACAGCGGCAGTTGGGATGATGCCCAGATTCCCACAGTTCTTACCTTGATTTCCTTTGATTCCAGGTAATCCGGTCACACCTAAAACAGAGGAGAATTTTTAGGGATTTTTTTCCTTCTGGATCAGCCTGCCAGAAAACTGGGATACCTACAGGTCAGTGCACCTGACCGTGTGGTCTCTTACCTGGTGGGCCTGGCTTCCCAGAGTCACCTTTACTCCCCGGGGCTCCAGGGCGTCCCGTGACACCCATGTCTCCCTTTACACCCACGTCCCCTTTGCTGCCTGAAAAGCCAAGGAAGAACAGTCAGGGGCTGGGAGGGGCATGCCTACCCCCCAAATTCTAAACTTGACAACTCCTTGAGTCCCTATGTGATGCCCAGAAATGGACAATATGGCCCTGTCCTCCAGGAGGGCACCACTTTGCCCCGGAGCCAAGACATAAACTCACGGGTGTGGTGAGCCGAAGGTCCCCCAGCAGGACTCAGAGTCCTGGTCGGCACCCTGCTCCCCTTGAGAGGGATCACACCTCAGACTGACTCAGCGGGGCCAAGTTCATTGTAAAGTCTGTATTTTGAGAATCATTTTTTAAAGCCTCCCAAACTGAAAATTCCAGAAAACAAGTCCCATATGCTGAGGAGACTGGAAATACTGAGGCACTGATTGATGGACATATTGCAGCATCTCATACTTCTGCCTGCCATTCAGACACAGACTCTCCTGATTCCCAGGATTTCAAATTTTCCACTTGTCATCAGCATGCGAGGCGCATCCCAGCCTGTCCTCTCCTCAGTCCTCTGTCACTCCCTCCTCCTTTCCTTCCACTGCTGGGTGCATATCAATTGGGGAAGCTCCTCGCAGGCACGGCTGAGCAGCTCCTTCCCAAACTTCGAGCTTGGTTTGGGAGTGGGTTGCACAGCCCTCCCCAGCCACACCACACAGCGGTTGTTCTCCGCCGTCGGCCGGGCTCATTGCTGTTCTGTCAGCCCGTGAGTTCCCACCATTAGCCAAATCCCACCTCGAGGCCGCCCTTAGGCCCTCAGACTGACTTGTTGGGATGGAATTTTGTTAAAAGGCATTTTTTTTTGCTCCGTTCTTTCATTTCCAGAATATAAGAGATGAAGAGGAATCTAGAATTATGGCAAACTTCTGTCCAGTGAAGTAGGGAAGGGGACAAAATGGTCCGAATGCAGGAGGGACAGAAGCCACTGCCAACAATGCTTCCTGCGTCTAAACTTGGGAAACATCTTGAGGAAAGTTAGGTGCAAGGCTTGCGAATCAGAGGCTCTGAGATGATGTGGGCAGTTGGAGAATGATTGCTGCTTGATGGGACACAAATCAACCAGAAAGGACTTGGTTACCATCAAGGCCTCTTATAACAGCCCAAGGTGCAAACAGCATAGAAGGCAGTCCTTGGTCATCTGGGAGAAGGATCAAATGGCACTTATTATAAGGGGCTGGGGATTATTTCCCTGACGGCATTTTCCCACTACCTGTCTGTCAGTGCGTAGTACTGTGGGGGCCTGTGTGTGGATGTGATGCTGAAAGCTCTGCCGTCAGTGTTTCAAATACCAGCAGGGTCACCCACGGTAGACAGGTTGCAGCAGAGCATCCAGACTAAGACCGAATAGGAAGAAAGGCCTGGCAATCTTCTTCTGAAAGCTAGTCAGTGAAAACCTGTAGATCACAACAGAATATTGTCCTACTACCAAAACCCACTGCCATCAACTTACAGCGGGCCTATTGGAAAGAGTAGAATTGCCCTGTATGGTTTCCAAGGCTGTGAATCTTTATGGAAGCAGACTGCCACATCTTTCTCCCATGGAGCAGCTGGGGGGTTCAAATCACTGATATTTCGATTAAGAGCTGAGCGCTTTAACCACACTGCACTACCAGGGTTCCAGTGTCCCACTAGGCTCAAACATGTCAATGATCGTGAAGATGGTGCAGGACCAGGCAGTGTTTGGTTCTCTTACCCCTACAGTCCCCATGAGGGTCACCAATACTCAGTGCCAGCTAACAGCAGTAACAACAACAGATGTTGTTGGTTGCCTTTTGCTCTAGGCCAGAACAATCCAGTTATGGCAATTGCTTGCTTGGCCATCTGAAGGTCTGGGCCTGCATCTATGTGGCCATACTTCTATGTCCCCATTGAAGGGGACAGACAACCTTGGGAAGGAAGGAAGGATAGTATCAGTGAAAGACCTGGGCTCTGGCTCCAACTGAGGAGTCGCAGCTTCTTCTGACTTCAGAACTTTCCAATCATAGCTAAAATGTGGAGTGAGGAGAGTAGACTTATCCCCTGGAAATTACAAGATCGGGGCGTTCTCGACCTGCTGGGGAGAAGACAGTAGAACCACAGTTCCACTGCGGCCAGGTTTTACTCGGCTTCACAGAATCCCATGGGCTGGAAGGGGATTGGGCAAGGAGTTGATGAGACAGATCTTGTGATCTTGGGAGAAGAAATTTGGGGAAAGGAGGGGGTGGAGTTCTGATTTCTGAAAAACTGAAACCATTGCATTTACCCTGGCCGAACAGAGCATTTCCATGTCTGAGCTGGGGTGTGGACACTGTGACTTCCCTGTGGCCAGGCCATTGGTGAGTGTGGGAGGGAGACAGTATGGCTCAGACTCCGAGGACGAAGGTTGGGCTGGCAGCCTCTGCTGGGCTGGTGGAGTCTGAGGAAAGCCGGGACCTCCTTTCCCCTTCTGCAAAGAGAACTATCAGGTGTCAGCTCTAGAACGATCCTTGGAGGTCAACTGTCCAACCATTTGCCTGATGCAAGAATGCCCTCTTCAAGACTGCCAAGGAGAATTCTATGGGCCCAGTACACGGGCTCTCACCATTTCATCACAGGTCAACCCATTCTTAAGCCATTCTTCTTCCTTTACCTCAGCACAGTTGGTCCCCGTTCTTCTGCTGGGAACCACACGGACTTGTCTTTTTTCTCTCCCACAAGTGCCTTTCAAATATTTTAGGATGGCTGCTGTGCCCATGCTGAGGGCTCTCTTCTTGAAGACAAACATCTGATGCCCCTAGGACACCTGCCTACTGAGTAGATCCTGTGCACAGAGTGAGGTCCCAGCCCCCTCAGGTCTCCGGGCCAACACAACACCCTCACGTGGGCCTTACCTGGGAGGCCCATCTCTCCTCTGTCTCCTTTAGCTCCACTTTCCCCTTTTGGGCCAATGAGACCCCCATCGCCTTTGCTGCCCTTCTGTCCTTGAGGTCCTGGGGTGCCTAGGAAGAGAGGCCAGTGAGGTGACCCTCTCTTGTCCCTCCTGGGGACAGACTCCCAGGCAATGGGGCAGGCAGCGTTCTGCGGAGAAGGGAAGGGGGCCCCAGAGGAAGCAGGAGCTGTGCTGGCTCATCTCTTGGCCAGTCTTGATGAGGTCTCTGGGACCCAACTGATTCCTCCACAGAAATGAGACTCAAAGAACAGGACTGTGGGGAAGGCGTTAACTCCCTGGGGCCAGGGTGGGGCTGTGGACAGGGGAGACCCGGGCACTGGATCAGGGCCTTGGCCAGAGCATCACTGATCCTGAGGCAGAAGGAAGCACAGTTACCTGTGGCTCCTGGCTTCCCCGGCTCGCCCTTGGGCCCTTGGAGGCCTGTGGAGAAGGAAAGAAGAGCTCAGTCATTGTGGCCTGGGTCCTTCAGTCAGCCAACATGCTAGAGGTCTCACCTTGGGCAAGGTGCCAACCCCGTTCTCAGGGGGCACAGAGTCAAGCAGAGAGATAGCTCTCTGTCTGTCTGTCTGTCTGTTTTCTTTCCCAGTCTCTCTCACTCTCTCTCTCTCACACACACACACACACACACACACACACACACACACACACACACACGTGCGCATGCACCTCTATCCCCAAGGGTGGAATAGCTCCTGGGAATGGTATCTTGTGTGATTGTGGAAGAAAGCCTTTAGCACTGGTCTGAATCGTAGCTCTGCTGCTCAGCAGGCTGGGGGACTTTGGAAAGGTCACTTAATTATTCCCCGTCTCAGTTTTCTCATCTATGAAACGGAGCTAGCAATTAGCAGGTACATAATCAGTGCTCCAGTGTCCCAGACAGGAGCTGAGAAACAATGGCTCCCATCCACATGGCACACAGGACTCCTGGGCTGAGGTGTGGAGTAGAGACTGTGGGAGCTGGGTGCTCCTGCGGTGTGGGGCGGGCGGGGAAGCCTCCACGGAGGGGAGCGAAAGAAGCAAGACACTGAGTGTAAGGGGAAACGAGGGATCCAGGAGGGAGAGTGAGAAAGGGCGGGAGAGAGAGGAGAAGAAGGCAGATGGGGTGTGGGGAGAGGCCCCCGCAGGGCGTTTCTGAGTTATATGGCTCTTCCTCAGTGTGCTGGTGGTACCCAGAGGTGGGGGCTGGAGGGGAAAAACCCTCAGGTGGGTATCTGTACTCCAGACTCCCTGTTGGGACCGTGCAGCCTTCCTCTTTCCATCTGTTTTAGGCATTTGGGTTCCAGATGTCATGGGTTGAATTTTGTCTCCCAAAAATGTGTGTATCAATTTGACTGGGCCATGGTTCCCAGTATTGTGTGGTTGTCCTCCATTTTGTGATTGTAATTTCATGTTAAAGAAGATTAGGGTGGGATTGTAACACCCTTACTAAGGTCATATCCCTGATTCAATGTGACGGGAGTTTCCCTGGGTGTGGCCTGCACCGCCTTTTATCTTACAAGAGATAAAAGGAAAGGGAAGCAAGCAGAGAGTGGGGACCTCATACCACCAAGAAAGCAGTGCCAGGAGCAGAGTGCATTCTTTGGACCTGGGGTCCCTGCTCAGAGAAGCTACTAGTCCAGGGGAAGATTGATCAGAAGACCAACAGAGAAGGAAAGCCTTCCCCTGGATGTGACACCCTGAATTTGGACTTGTAGCCTACTAGACTGTGAGAAAATAAATTTCTCCTTGTTAAAGCCATCCACTTGTGGTATTTCTGTTATAGCAGCACTAGATGACTAAGACACCAGGTAAGATGTGGTTAAAGATAGGGTTGTTCGACTTCAGTGGGATTGCACAGCCCTGTTCTGAATCCTTCCTGCAGACCAGGACGCCCGTCAGAGCCGCTCTGATGCCAATGACCACGGGAGTCCTGAACAGAAGGGGAAACTCGGGCTCTGTTCCTTCTCGAAGGAAGTGAGGAGCTGCCTTGTTCTTTCTAGCTGGCCTCCATGATACCATGTCTGATGAGTCGCCAGAACCCAGCCTGGTTCCCTTTCCCTCAGGGAGAAAAGACGGAGGAGGGAGGCCTGCTCTTCTCCACGGGACCCTGCCCTGCTCTGAGCTCCCACAAATCTGGGAAGGTTGGGGCCGCCTCCCTGGAGTGTGTGTGTATGTGTGTGTGTGAGGGTGTGTGAATGTGTGCGGATGTGTGTGTGTGAGGGTGTGTGAATGTGTGCGGGTGCGTGTGGGGTGTGTGTGTGTGCATAAATGTGTGTGTACAAGAGTGTGTGTGTGAAGATGCCTGTGTATACATGTGAGTGTGTGCATGTGAGGGTTCAAATGAGTGTGTGCATGAGAGCTACTGTGTGTGCACACAAGCCTGTGTATGAGTATGCACGGGAGTGTGTGTTTACGTGTGACTGTGGGTGTGCATGGAGGTGCGTGTGAGTATGAGTGTGCAAAAGTGTGTGTGCATGTATGAGTGCATGTGTGTGAGCGTGTGGGAGTATGTCCGAGCACATGGGTGTATTCTCCTTTAGAACACTGTCTTAGTCTTCTAGTGCTGCCACAGCAGAAATACAAGTGGATGGCCCCAACAAAGAGAAATTCATTTCCTCACAGTAAAGTAGGCTAAGAGTCCAAATTCAGGGTGTCAGCTCCAGGGGAAGCCTTTCTCTCTCTGTCGGCCTTCTCATCAATCTTCCCCCGGACTAGGAGCTTCTCAGCACAGGAACCCCAGGTCCAAAGGACACACTCTGCTCCCTGCACTGCCCTCTTGATGGAATGAGGTCCCCCTCCCTGCCAGGCTCTCTGCTCTCTTCTCTCTTTTATAACCCAAAAGAAACGGGCTCAAGACACGATCCAATCCATAGACTGAGTCCTGCCTCATAAACACAACCGCCTCCCATCCTCCCTCATTAACATCGCAACGCATAGGAAAATCACATCAGATGACAAAATGGTGGACAGTCACACAATACTGGGAATCACCGCCTAGCCAATTGACACATACATTAAACCCATGACAAACACCCATGCCCATAAACTCTCCTCCCCTTGTTTCCCCATGAGCACCCCCCTCCTGCCCCTCACCCCCACTCCCACCCCCTCTCGAAAACCTCCATCTTCCCATCGAAATCCCTGCTATAGACTTCAAACAAGAGACTCTTCAGGATCCCTGCTATTAAATTGCCTCCAAAAATCAGTTCCCTGAAAAACATTTTCTCTCCTAATGAGTTTTCTTGGTGGAACCATGGGATTTCTGTAGCCGATGGTGGTTTCTGCCTCCGTAGTCTGGAGGCTTAGAGACTCCTTAATAACCTGGAGATGGTTGTTTGTTTACTTCCCTTTGCTTGCAAATCTCCCCGTTCGCTCTTTCTCTGATGATGGTCTTAGTGTCTTTGCACCTTCACTTCTCGGCAGCCTCCAGGAATTTGGGAGTTGGCAGGGTACACACGGAAAGTGGGGTGAGGTGGACTGTCAGAGTCGATCGGCTCTAATGCTGGTTCTTACTCCTGGGGAGGGAAAGCTCTGGGTCCCCCACACTGAATGAACCATGCAGCGGCCGTTTGTAAAAGGGTGGGCAGGTCTGGGCTACAGCTTAAGAGAAGGAAGCTAATACTTCTTCAGCCACAACTGTGCTTACAATCATTCTCTCTAATCTGCCCAAGAGCACTCCGAAGCACTCGCATCCTCATTTTACAGACCAAGAAATTGGAGTTCAGAAAGGTCAAAGAATATTCCCAGGGTCACAAGGTTGGTGCGTGGTAGAGGCAGATTTGGATTTCAGACTGGAGGGCCCGCAGGACCAGCGAGCTGGGCCTTTACAAGTGAGGCCCCAGGCTTAGACTCCGGGGGCTGAGAGGAAATTAGGGTGTCCACACCGCCAGCTCCCCCAGCACACATAAGATCCCCGGCAGGGTGGCCCCCCTCACACACAGACTCGTCAGGAGTGGGTCTGGGAGCAGCCCCCCGCCTCCACTCTGCCGTTCATTTCCTACTCACCTGCCTCTCCCTTGATTCCTGGTGGGCCTTGGGGTCCCGGGGGACCTGAAAGGAAAAGGGGATTCAAAGCGTGGCGTGGACCAGGAGAAACATGAATAATGGGGTCAGAAGACAGAGACCAGTACCTGTGGCTCCACTGGGTCCCATGGGCCCCCTGGCTCCCTTCTCAGCTGGTGGCCCCGGCAGGCCAGGGGTGCCAGGCATGCCCGGGGCTCCCTTTTGACCTGGAAGACCTGAGGACGAGGAGTAGAGACACTGATAACTCATCCGTGTGACAGCACCTCACTCACTCAGGAGGTTATTCATGCAACCAACATCCACTGAGCACCCAAGATGAAAGAAAAGAAGACAGAACTTCTCCCTGCAAGAAACTCATGGCCTAGCAGGCCAAAACCAATGGTGTGCATGACATCTCTCAAGAGAGATGGAGTCAGATAGACCTGGGTTCAAAGATCAGCACCACTCCTTTAGCTCCATGGCCTTGTGCGAGTTACGTCACCATTTTGAGCCTCAACTTTCTCCTCAATAAAATGCAGTTAATATACCAGTTATGCAGGGCTGCCCTGGGCTCACCATGTGGCACCCATCTTGGAAAATACACTCAGCAGGCGCTGGATAAATGGGAGTATCATTGTTACCACTTGAATGTAGCTCTCTATGGTTTTGTAGACAGGAGCTCACATGATTTCCACATGGATCCTACAGGGGCAGGTGGGACAGGGCTCCTTGTGCCCATATCACAGAGGAGGAGAGTGAGGTTCTGAGAGAAGTGGAGACAGAGAGAGACGAGGGGAGACAGACTTGGAGATTTTATGTATATTCATGCACAGAGAGCCCACGCACCCACAGGAAGTCTTGCTGGCCACCATGGGGGTGAGGTGGGCTGTGTCTGCTCCTGCAGAGCTCAGCTTGGGGCAGATAATGGGCAGATCTTAAAGGTCAGGGTTGAGAAGTGGTTTAAACGCAGGCTCTGTCACTAACGCGATGGAAGTTGTGGGAACAACCTCTCCTTGGAGGGGAGGAGCTGGCATGCATCAGGTTGGGTGCTTCATGGGCGTGTGATCATTCTATCTTTCCAGCAACTAACAATGACCGCAAAGTGATAAATAACAATAACGAGTGACCTGATTGAGGACTTACTTTGTGCAGACGAAGCATTTTACACTGTATTTCGTTTTATCCTCACACCAATCCTATGAGGTGGTATCACTACCCCCATTCTGCTGGCGCGGTGGTTAAGAGCTTGGCTGCTAACCAAAAGGCCAGCAGTTTGAATCCACTAGCTGCTCCTTGGAAACTCTATGGGACAGTTCTACTCTGTCCTAGAAGGTCGCTATGAGTCGGGATCGACTTGATGGCAACAGGTTTGGTTTTTGGTTTCTCTTACAGAGGAGGCCACGGAGCTCAAAGCCACACTTGAAAAAATACGGAGCCAAAGAATTCCATCTCAAGAATGTCACGTACATTTATTTTCAGGGTTAAACTTCAATCCCTCAGCTGCATTGAATGTAGTAGGGTTGTGAGTGAAGTGTGTGTGTGCGTGCGTGTGTGTGTATGTAGGTGAGTGTGTGTGTGTGTGTGTGCACGTGTGTGTAGGTGAGCATGTGTGTATGAGTGTGTGCATGTTGTATACTGTGTGTACGTGTGTAGGTGAGCATGTGTGCATGTGTGTGCCTGTGTATACTGTGTGTCTGTGTATGTGTGTGTGTGTGTGTGTGTGTGTATAGGTGAGCACGTGTGTGTATGTGTATGTGAGCATGTGTGTATGTGTGTGTGCACACCAGTGTGTTTGCTGAGGAAAGAGGAAAAGGCAAATAAGCTTGAGGCTTTGTCCTCAGCACCTGCTACATCAAACACTCTTTGCACATCATCTTAACTGAGTCTTGCAGCAACCTGGCGAGGACAGTAAAAATATCTCCATTATTGTCTACACAGGTGAGTGGCTGAGGTTCCAGGAAAGTTAAGTAACTGGCTTGAAGTCACACAACTAGTAAACAGCAGACCTAGGGTTCGACGTGGGCCGGTCTGATCTCACACAGCCTGCTCCTTCCTTTCTGTTACACACCCTCCCTCTCCTGAGATGACTGTCATCCTTGCGAGGCATCAGCCATACATCCATGGAAACGATGGTGCTGAGCTGATGGGTGACCAATGCCAAGTATCAGATAAAGGGTACCTGGAAAACGTGCTCACAGGTCACAGAAGGAGACGGCCTGTGCTTGCAGCCGGACGGCTGGGGAAGGCTGCGGGTGTGCGGTGGGGGACCGGGCTTGGCCTGGCCTGGGAAGGTGGCTGGAATGTGGATGCGCTGGGGTGGAGGGGTGAGCCACTTCAGGCAAGGATGCAGGTTAGACAGGGAAGCTGGGAGTCGAAGCACAATCAGGGGACAGAGAGGACACCCGACAGGACTGGCGAGTTGAGCAGGTTGTGGCCACCGACGGAAGGTAAGCTGGGATCACATGTGGAGACCCAGGGGGGCACAACCAGGACCCCCCCAGGGATGAGGTTGTGGGGAGTTGGTGGGATGGTTCGGGGGGAAGTGAACCTACCTGGACTGCCTGGTTCACCTTTGGACCCGAACAGCTCTACAAAGGAAGAGTGTGGGATGCAGGCTGAGCTGGGGGGCACCGGGCTTTGCCCCTGCCCGACAGCACCCAGGTTCCAGATCTGAAGGTTGAGCCTACCCAAGTGGGGGAGGAGGGGCTTCAGTCAGCTCGCTGGGGTTTGGACCACAGGGAGCCAAACCCTGCGCGTTTACCAGAAAAGAGCCCAGATGTTTATCGTAACTAGTGGTCGGCAGCTTGAGAGCTGTTGGTCCTTCAGAGCTACAGATGTTTGGGGAAAGGACAGGGATCCCTGAGTGCCCCGGGCATTGTGAGAAGACTGCAGAGACCAGGCACCCTAAGGAGGCTCCTGAGGTTGTGTGAAGGGCCTCCTTGTGTTACTGGAGAATGGGACACTCGTTCAATTGCTGCATGAGTGCCCGTGACCTTGGCGTTGACTCTTCCCGTCCGCCCCACAGCTGTGCAGCCTTTCCTCACATCCATCCCAGCCTCGTCCTTGCCCCCTGTGGGCTGGACTGGAGCCTCGGTTCTGGAGGGACTTGCTCTCCTGGGCCCCGAGTTCAGGACTTGCTCTGGTCAGCAGGACCCTGGATATGACAGAACTATTCGAAGCCCCAGCTCAGCCTATACAGTGGGGCCACAGCAATGAACCCCGGAGCTGCCGTATAACAGCGTGAAACCCTAGTCTAGCTTTGTCCAAACTGGCCGAGGGTCAAGCCCTTCCAGGTTGGGGTTGGCCTGGGAGAGCAGAGGGTGTAACCTCACTTTGCACAGCTGCAAGGCCCCGGGCGGAGAGCTGGAAGGAGAATGCTGATGTTCCCACCTTTAGCTTCATTTTCTCCTGCCTGCAGCCCCACCATCCCAGCCGCCCTGCTTCTACCCTGCTGAGGGTCCCCACAGCGTCTGGACTGGCTTGGGACCCTCAATTGCTTTTTCCCCAGCCACAGGCCCAGGTAAGTTTCAACGCATTGGAGTGGTCCTAGGACTCGCCCCAGGCTCTGTGTCTCACCTACCCTCCTAAACATTCTGCATCAGTCTGGGGACTCCGTGACTCTGACTTGGCTTTGGCTGATTGCCTCAGGAAGTCACACTTTGTTTGGTTCCTGATCAAACCGTCTCCCAGACCCCTGTCTGCAGCCACCCATAGTTCTGTCCCATATGGCTCCCACATCTGCCTTGGCTCCTGGAGTCCCTGACCAGGTCAGGGTGTTGGAAGCCTCCCTTGCCAAGCAAGGGGTTCAAACCCAAGCAGGACCACTTTCCTGCGGGCAAGCAGCTCCTCCTTCCCAGCCCTCCCTTGAGGAGTCCTCACCCAGAGGGGAGGGGCCAAACCTGGGCTCTGAGTGAAGTTGTCCACCTGCCACCGCAGGTGCTGCTGGCTGGCATGGACCTGCATGAGCTGAGCCTGAAGGTTTTGCAGTTTCTCGCCGTCCCATGCACCCCTAGCCAGGTGTGGGTGGTGCATCTCCTGGCGCAGGGAGAAGAATGAGCTGTCGTCGGCGGCCAGCGTGTCATTGAAGAGGTAAATCTCCAGGGCCCGGATCCGCTCCTGCAGGTTCAGAACTAGACACCACCACCCCCAACATTCTTTACGGGACCTCATTGAAGCCCCAAGCATTTGAGCATATATCCTTGCTATTCTTGTGTAATTGTAATGTGTGCACAACTTCTATAGGCCCTGGATATGTAAACACACATTTCACGTGCTGTGGGCATCTAGCAGGAGCACAGAGCTTTTTCTGTAACTTAAACAAACTCACGCCACGTTCAGGAATTACATTACATGTCCACAGAGCATTCTGCATGGACTAAAACTGGACAGATGTGCCCGCTGTATCCACAATCAGTCTCCAGCCTTCACGCAGCTCAGACCTTAGCTCACGCTCCGGCCACAAAAGCATGACACCAATTTGCTGTTCTGACCCGAGTATTCACCAGCGGCACTTGGGTGTGACCTTAATATGCATATGACATGTGTTGGTGACAACTGTGCATACAGCGTTATTGAGTGACCTAAGTGTCTGCTGATGGAATTGCTTCTTCAATATCTGGACCGGGAAGACTTCGTGAGTAAAACCATGTTAAAGAGACACTCCAATCAACAGAGCCTCTTCCCACTAAGAGGTTAGGAACCCGACCTATGAGATGTTTGCGGTGTATCCCTTGTGAAAGCATAGCACCTTTCACTGCTTCAGTTACACACAGGCTCACACGTGTGCTGGCTTTCTCTCTGTCACTCACATGTGCACACACACACTCTCCCCTTTTCTCGCCCCCTCCCCATCACTGTGACTGCCGGGGGCTGTGAACTCTCTCCCAGCAGCCTGACTCAGCCTGAGTCCTGAGTCACGGGTCATGCGTGGTCACATCATGAGGGCCCCATGGGACCCAGGTTGCTTTACCTTGCACCACCAGCAGCCCTCCGCCCGTGGTGAGCAGAATCAAGTAGACAGTCACCAGAGCCAGGAAGCATTTCACCCCATTTCTCTTCTTGGGTTTGGGATCTGAAACACAACCCAGGCAGAGATGGCTGCTGCAGAGGTGAAGAGCAGGTGGCCCCAACCTGTGCCAGGGAGCCCTCTTGTGTGAGCAGGGGGCTTACTGTGAGGTGGAACAGGGAAGACACCAAAGGCTCATCTTCCCAATTCCCACCTCCTCCAACCTATTTCCACAAGGTAAGAGGTTCTGCTGTGGTTCACTGTCTTAGTCATCTAGTGCTGCTGTAACAGAAATATCACAAGTGGATGGCTTTAATAAAGAGAAATTTATTCTCTCACAGTCCAGTAGGCTACAAGTCCGAATTCAGGGCGTCAGCTCCAGGAGAAGGCTTTCTCTCTCTGTCGGCTCTGGAGGAAGGTCCTTGTCATTAATCTTCCCCCAGTCAAGGAGCTTCTCCATGCAGGAACCCCAGGTCCAAAGGACACGCTATGCTCCTGGTGCTTCTTTCTTGGTGGTATGAGGTCCCCCTGTCTCTCTGCTCGAGTCTCTCTTTTATATCGCGAGGGAGATTGGTTTAAGACACAATCTAATTGTGTAGATCTCATCAACATAACTGCCGCTAATCCATCTCATTAACATCACAGTGATAGAATTTACAACACATAGGAAAATCACATCAGGTGACAAAATGGTGGACAATCACACAATACTGGGAATCATGGCCTAACCAAGTTGACACACATTTTGGGGGGACACAATTCAATCCATGACAGTCACTCATTGGTGTGGCAGGACAAGCAAATATCCATGCCAACACATGTCAGTAGCTGGATGGTAAAGGCTCTTATGAGCAGATGTTGTGCGGACCTTCCTCACTGCTGATGCCCCAGCACAGTGCTTGAACCGCAATGGGCTCTCAGTAACTGTTTATTGAATGAACTAATGAATTAACATGTTTAAGTTTCAAAACTCCAGGGGGAGGAGGATTGTTTCGATTTTACAAACTATGAATGAGGTTTGGAGAAATTGAATAATTTATTAGGTTATAAGATGCAGATCTGGAATTCACGTGCAGGTCTCCATTTTCTTTCCCTTCAGAAATTTTAATGATAAAAGTAAAACATGCTTGATATAGTTTTTCAAACAATATACAGGAGCATTAAAAGGGTTACTAATCTTCCCTCAATCCCCTGAGGTCCTAACACCCCGGAGGTAAGCTGTGTTAGCATTTCAGGGCTTTCCTCTCACCCCTTTTGCTCATGGAAACTTTCAAACCCATATACACATAGACAAGCTTGGGTGTTTTTCTTTTAATCTTACACAAACGACACTGTATATATAATAAAGGTGCATTACTTTTTGCAGTGAGTAATTTTTCATGGACATACCTTCAGTTCTCTTTGCTCCAAAGATTTAACATTCTTTCTAATAACTGCCTAATATCCTCTAGAGAGTCCCTGGGTGGTACAAATGTTTAATGTTCAGCTGCTAACTGGAAGGTTGGAGGTTTGAGTCCACTCAGAGGCACCTCGGAAAGAAACAAGATCTACTTCTGAAAAATCAGCCATTGAAAACCCTATAGAACACAGTTCTATCTACTCGGATACACATGGGGTTGCCATGAGTGGGAGCTGACTCCATGGCAAATAGTTTTAATAGCCCCTAGAGGCAAAAGCCACAATTCATTCAACTCTTTTCCTACTGATGAGCTGTTTGGGGCATTAGAGAAAAGGCTGCAATGAACATTTTCCCAGGGATCCCGTCTCCAGTCTTTCCCCCACCAGCTGTCTCACTGTTTCAGGCTATCAAGGGCAGGGGCACAGCCCGCAGAAGGTTGAGCACCTACTTGGTGCCAGCCGTTTTACCAAAAATATTCCAAACCTTGCAGCAACTCTACAAGTTGGATATGATCGTGGAGGAGAGACCCGGGGTTCAGAGAGGTTAACTAAGTTACTCAAGGTGACACAGCTGGTGTGTGATGCCAGGTCCATTTAACTCCAGGGCCTCAGCTTGCCTTGCCAGCCTTCACTGACTGTTGCCCTTGGGAAAAGCCCCGTTCAAATGAGCCACAAAGGTCGGGTGGAAGGGAAAAGAGATCATCAGCGAGCAGGCCAGGGGAAGGATATGGGAGTGCTGGTGAAGGCAGCTATTCAGCTGACTGTTCTGAGGTATGTGCATGAATCTCAGGTGTATTTTTCATTATCCACGTGTTATCTCTGCTGGTCCTCTTTCCAGCCACCTGCCTGACTGTCACCCTGCTGTCTAGGGACAGCTCTGAGCAGTACCTGGAGGAGTGGCGGTGTTGGTTGGTTGGCTTTTTAGTTCAGTGGCACTTTGTCTAGCACTGAGAGTATCTTTCCTCCTTCCCCCTTCCCCCCAGCATCCTGACCCACACGGCAGCTCTCCAGCACACAATCTGGCCAAGTTACTCCCCTGCCTTCAGCCCTTCAGGCTGTTCACAGTCCTCAGGACCAACCAAAGTCCCCACCTGACACGTGAAGCCTTGCTATCGGCCAGCTTTCCTCTGACTGATCCTCAAGATCACACTTGGACGTGACCCTGAACAACAGTGAGGCCAGACGATTCACAGTTACACCCTTCTGACTCAGAGACTTCGGGCGGTGTATTTCCTTTGCTGCACAGTCCTTCCTCCCTTTCATGTGACTGATTCCTACTCATCCTTTGGGAGTGTGGTAGAGCCTTTTCTGTTCCAAAATACATTCTCTGACTCCCCTAATTTGGGGGGTCCTCTTCTGCTTCTCCACATCACCCTGAACTGAGTCTGTTTGTATTTCAAACTCCCCCAAATATCCTGGAAGCTTCTTGAAGTCTATATCCAGCACCAATATGGTGTCTTGTGCACACTATATTGAGCTGGACAATGTGTACAATATGCGCCAGACAGATGATCACTGAATAGATGAATGAATGGGTGGCCACAGAGGTTTGGGTGCTGGACATGTGCACAGTTCAACACAGCAAGTCTGGAAGCATTGGAAAGCACTTGGAATACAATTTAGGGCCTCATGAGTCCATATTCTCATTGTGGTGAGGATGGATAACATACAAGAGAAGCCTCACATTTAACACAAGATGGTGGATGGTAAATACCATCTCACAGAGAGCACTAAGCTCGATTAAACATAACACTTGATGGCAATGGAAAGATAAACTGCTTCAGAGACACAGGTATTACAGAGGTTGTGAGTGGAGGAAGGCACAATGATGGAAGATGTAAGCATTTTCAGACTAGATGGTGGACCGTGGTGGAAGGCATTTGAGTAAGGACATGGAGAAAGTCATTGAGGGATGCCCATCCAGACCTGGAATGTTTTTTCTAGTTCAGAGCTAGCACCTGGCATAGAGACAAGGTATTTTAAGTACTGGGAACTTTAAATATGGGGGTATCATCTGACTCACTCTGTGCAAAGTGGAGGATCTGATAAATTCTTTACTTTCTAGGTTGATCATTTAGAGGGTAAAAGAAGCCGCAAAGGAAGGGTTGGGTTTAACCAATGAGGAAGAGACAACTGGGATGAGAGAATGAAAAAAGCTTCAGGTGAACAAGAGTGGACTTTTCTGGAGTAAACTATGGTGAGGCTAGAGGAAGATCTGAGGAAAACAAGTTTCAGAAATTTGAAAGCTCTATTGTCTGGCTCTCAATGAAAATATGGTTCCAGTGGGAAATAAAAATGGTGTTCCAATTTCATAAAAGATACCAATGAAGAAAAAAAAAAAAAAGGCTGCCCAAACACTGTAGGGTTCCCAGGACTTCCATCTCTTAACACCCCATCCAGTGGCAGAAGGGAGCCCAAAGGGTGCTTCTCTTCCCTGGAATAACACTAGTGGAGAGTGAGCAGAAGCCCCACCAGAGCTGGGATGCCTGCTGAGTAGACCCAGGGAAGCGGTCTCTACGCTATGTGCTCCACATCTCCCATGCCCAACCTGGTAGCACTGGGCAGCCTGGGGAAGTGTCTTCCAGCCCCCAGGCAGCAACAGCAGGGATCGAGCAAGACCACCAACGGCACCAAGTGAACAAAGCAGACCAAAACAGCACTGCCAGGGCTCTGAAAACTAAATTGTCATTGGAACTACAGCCCACAAAATAGGCCAGAACCTGTCTAGTAAATCTAAACAGTGTGACTATCAAAATAGTAAATTTAAGTAAGACTCAGAGTCTTCTAACAGAATATCCAAAATGTCTAGGATACAATTGAAAATCACCTATCATGCTAAGACTTAAAAAAAAAAAAAAATCACAACTAGAACAAGAAAAGAGCCCTGGTGGCACAGTGGTTAAGAGCTCAGCTGCTAACCAAAAGGTCGACAGTTTAAATCCACCAGCCACTCCTTGGAAACCCTATGGGGGCAGTTCTACTCTCTGTACCATATGGTTTGAACACTGGACTCAAAATGATAAAATGTCAATATCAATAGACTGTGATAAGTTATGTAGGCATACTGTAATATTCACTAAGAAAATTATTTAAGGTGACGTCCTCAAAGATGCTATAAATAAATCAAATAGAATTCTATACATTGTTCAAGTAACTAATAGGTTTTGATACTGATGCATCAAATTGATGCAGAAAAACATCTGACAAAATCCAATACCCATTCATAATAAAAGCTCTCAGCAAACAAGTAACAGAGAACTTCTTCAATTTGAAAAAGAGCTTCCACAAAATATTCAAACCTAACACCATACTTAATGGTGAAAGACTGAACGCTCTCCTCCTATGATTAGGAACAAGTCAAGGATTTCTACCGTCACCTAAATTTGCATTTTCCTAATAAAACTGTCTTTCACTCTTATTCAGCATGGTACTGGAAGTTCTAGCCAGTGTAAGAAGGCAAGAAAAAGGAATAAAAGGCATACAGATTAGAAAGGAAGAAATAAACTCATCCCTGTTTTCAAAAGACATGACTGTCTATATAGAAAATTGCGAAGAATCTACAAAACATCCCTGTGATGGTTAAGGTTTTGTGTCAACTTGGCTGGGCCATGATTCTCAGTGGTTTTGCAGTTACGTAATGATGTAGGTTGGCAGTTATGTAGTGATGT